GGCAATCGGATAGAAAAAAAAAAAAAAAATTGATTAATTTAAAGTTTGTTTTTTTCGGTAAATTATTAATATTTTTTTTATGAAATTTATGAAACGGTTTAGTAAGTTGAACTCACACCTAGAAAAAAGTAATTTTGCCACAATAAAGTATTGCTACAACTTATTTTTTTCGTGACCACCTTTTTGGTAAAAAGACCTTTGCAGTGATATATTGTTGTGTGTTTTTTCACGATAATTGTTGGACTAAAATTTCATGTGAAAAAATGTATTATTTAGTGTAAGTTATATAGTTCAACGATAAAACAAAACAGATAAATAGAGCACAAAAATCCAGAGGGCCCACCGGGCACTAACTCAGCAATACATTATCCAAATCCACATTCAAACTCAGTCCATGTCATGTGGTCCCTACAAAAACTATCCAAAAAAAACCTTCCCAAAACTCCAAAACAACCCCGGAAGTCCACGAAAATTCCCTACGCACCCCGGGCCAAATCTACACCTAAAATTACATTAATGTCCCCAAAGTCATGTGGATTGCACACTACCATAACCGTCTTCCCCGGCTTACATCAGCACGTCCTTCTGGTTCATAATCGCCGACAGGTTCCCCGTCCTACCGCCGGCCGCCGTCTCCCTGCATCGGAACGCGATCCCCTCCGCCGGCGCTGCGATGTCCGGCCTCCGCACGCCGAGATCCCGCCCGTCGTCCTCCTCGCTGCCTGTGGTCCGCCCGTGCGTCCCGAACCACTTCGACTGCACGTGCGCCAGGCGGCGCCACGGCGGCACGTCGATTCCGGCGCTCTTCATCGACCTCCTCACCGCCGCACACATGGTCTTCACCACCTGCCGCAGCTCGTTCGGCTTCGCGACGAAGATTGCGGGGAAAGTCTCCAGCAGGGAGGAGTACCCGTCCGCCGGACGCCAAATCGTGAACTCTCCAGCAAGGAAAATCTCGACGATGTAGCGCCCGCCACCGCCGCCGCCGACGGCGGCCGCGGCGGCGTTCACGTCGACGTACTCGTGGTCGTGGTACTTCCGGCGACCGTCCTTCTCGCACTTGGACCTGCAGATGCCTGCGATTCGCGATTGGGGAAAAAAAAAATTGGGGGTGAAATTAGGTAAGTAATTCGCATTAATTACTGATTAATTAACTCTCCAAAAATTTAAAAATGTTGAGATGTTAATTAATTAAGCTGTTAAACGCTAAAACACACCAGCGTCGAGGCCACCGCCGCGCAGCAGATTCACCAGCCGGCGATTGAAATCCGGCGAGGAGCTCTTCCCGCCGATCTCAGCCACCGCCTTCTCCACCGCCTCATGGATCCTCCTCCGCTCCTCATCCTCTTCCCCTCCGGCGAACACGTTCTCCAGCAAGTCCCGAGCATTCGAGTAGTAATTCTCCGCCTCACGGAGCTCATTGGCCTCACCATCTCCACCGAACATTCCTTCCCAGTCATCTTCATCGTCAGTCCTCCGGAATTCCCTCTCGAAAAACGATCTCACGAGAGCCGACAAATGCACAGTGCCAACTCCATTCTGCACGCCGTCGAAAGCCGCCGTAAGTCCTTTGAACGGAATCGGAATTCTAGCCATTTCTAAAATTAAAAATACCGAGAGATTTAAAACAAAAAAATTATTGAGTATTGCTTGGTGAAGATGAAGGATGGACAAATGATGGGTTTATATAGGCAAAACAAAAACACAAAAGGATGTTGAGATGTGTTGACACTATAGCACAATTTATTGAGCCTCACTGTAAATGGAGAAACCAGCTGGTATTTTTTTTTTTTATTTATTTTTTGGTTGTGGATGAAGACATAATAGGGAGAGTGTAGAAAGCGTGCGCAGATATAGAGAAGAGGGGGCACGAAACTCGTAAAAATCGGGCACCAACAGGTTTAAATGCATGGGGTATATTCCCTTATAATCTTACCTAATGGTGGATGGATGTACTTGCAATGGGACTACGCACCAGGTTCGGAATGTAATATGGGACTAAAGCTTTTGTGTTTTGTGTGTAGTGTGTGTGTGTGAGTAGGATTTTTGGATGAGGATTATGGGTTTTTCGGAGCCACCAAACACGAGTTAGTTNTCGCACGATCTCCGGCCTCCGTATTTTTCCACCCGCTGTCGCCGAACTCAGGCACAAGTTTGACTCTTCCTGTACAAGCCCTCGTATCGAGGTTGAATTATGGTCGTCGTCATTGCCCTGCTCCCATGTTGCCGCCATTCTCCCCCGCTTTTCAAATATTCCTAAATCCTCTATTCATAAATTGACTTATTATTCATGCATTCTCGTCCTCCTCGACATGTTGTCGTCTCCCCAACATCTCCAATGAGAAGACACGTTGTGGTGGACTACCTAAACTTGCCCAAGGTCTTGGTGACCCAACAGATTTTTGTCTGGCGCTGAGTGAGTTCATGGTGAGGCACTCCTTCTTTTCGGTCTAGCAGGGCTCGTCGGCGGAGGCAGCGAGTGCCTGCTTTCCTATCGGGGATGGCGTCTCTAAAGGAGACTGACGGGAAGAATTGGGGCTTCATTTTAAAAATTAGATAAGTCACAGGGACTTGTTCGCAATTTTTTTAATCTTAATGTGTTGCAATTTAGTCCTCAGGGCAAATATACAATTTATTAAAAGTTTGATAAATTACACAATAATGTTAAGTGATATGCATAATATCACTTGTGGATATAGACGCATTACACATACCGTTGTATTTTTACGAAATTACAAAATTGCCACCGCCTACGTACACATTTAAAAGTCCACAAGTTTATCAAAATGCCACCGCGCTACAGAATGCACAATAGTATCAAACGAAGTGCGTATTAATGCCAGTAGAAATGCACAATAGTGTAGTAGTATGTTCTGTGCAATGACGGAAATGTCATCGTGTTAAAACTCAAAAAGTACTCATAATTACGAAAATGACACTGGTCTTCGACCAGTGTTGCCTTTAATCAATCCTGGAGCGTTGATATATCACAACCAACGACTATGATTCATTCTTATCTCTTTCAGTATCACATATTCTTATTTGATCTTGATTTTATGTGTGTGTGTGTGTGTGTGTGCAGGTTGTTGATTTACAGTTTCTGTAATCGTTTAACGAACTAACTGAAAGCATATCTTCAAACTAGATCTGACTGAGAAACTGATTTAATGTATTAGGTGCATGATGATTGTGTTTCCTACACTTGTCTGCTCATTGTAACCGTTTAACGAACTAACAAAAAGCATTTTTGTTAAACTAGATTTGACTGAGATATTCATTTAATGTACTATGTGGACGATGATTGTGTTTCATACACGTGTCTATAATCATTTAATGAACTAATTGAAAGCATTTCTTCAAACTAGATCTGAGTGAGATATTTAATTAACATATTAGGTGCACGTTGGTTATGTTTTCTACACGTGTCTGCCTATTAGGACTTACAAAAAGTTCACGAAAAATGAAGTAGAGATATTACGTATGCACGTATCGTTCATTTAATAGCATTGATTGTCAGAAAAATATGTAGGCGCAAGAATGTGATATCGAACTGGTTTTAATTACGATGTGCATTTAATGTTTTAAATGCACACATAGTTATGTTTCCCACACGTATCTTCTCATTTGGTCGAGGAAGAAACCAACAAAGGATAATCCAATCATGTCGAACGAGCCACATAATAGCGAAGATAAATGGAACCTTTAACCAATGCCAGCTGTAATTGGAGAAGAAGAATAAAATAAGGAATCGCCAAATGACGATTGAGTAGATGACTCTGGAAACTCAAGCAATAAATTAAGATACATGACGGAGTCGCCAAATGCGATTGAGTGTATGGAAGGTCGTGTGAAGATAATTGACGACGCGAACATTGCCACCATTGAGTACGGAGAACATGATTTATTCCAGAGGTTAGTGATAAGGAATCGAACGAAAAAGATCATGCTAAACCAAAGATAATAAATTTTACTCCGCATAAAGAAGTAAATCAAGCATTACGAGTGTTTGTTAAATATAGTTTGTGCGGTTTGTGAATATCAAGAAGATGACTTAAGGATAATGAAGGAAATAAAAACAAAATCAAAGCCGGGGCACGTAATAGCTACGTTCTCATTCAGACGAAATTATCCCATAAAATACCCACAGTTAAATGCAAACGCCTCCAATATACGACTTTCGACTTGTATATAGCAGTATTTCAAATATACAAGCCTTTGACGAACAATACTATTGTTTGAAACTCTCAAGACTCAACGAAAAAATCAAAGAACACAATATGCTATATCATATATGAAAAGTCATGCAAGAGCTTTTCACTTTTCAAGTTATGAATGATTTCAAGTTATTTGAAAAAGGCTATAAGTACATTATTGTACATAGAGTTGTACATAACATACACATTAAGTGGGTCCTACTAAAAATAAAGAAAAATGTTACAAGTACATAATAAATGTACATAGAGGTATACATAACACTCACATGGAGTGAGGTCCATTTGTTTTTTATTTTTGGTAGGACTCACTCAATGTGAGTGTTATGTACACCTCTATGTACAGTATCATGTACCTATAGTATTTTTCAAATAAAAAATATAGTGGACTCCACTCTATGTGAGTGTTACGTACACCTTTGCGTACATTTATTATGTACTTGTAGTATTTTTCTAAACATTATAAGAGCATCCACAACCCAAATATACAATTTTCATTTATTTAATAAAAAAGTAACACTCTGTCATATCCACATCATCTTTCCACTGAATCTCTCTCCATTTAAACACACACTCACATTCTTATCCATTCATTTAAATACATATATGGGACCCACTTAAATACATATATGGAAAGAAATATGATTAAACAATTGATTTAAAATAAAAAAAAAACTAAAAAAGAGGTTGAACGGCGTTCAACACATTGAACGCAATAGAGGGCCCCACAATTTAAATGAACGGCCACATCCGTGTTGAACGCCAAAAGAAAAAGTGGCATTGCGTGTGCCCTTAAGAAATAGTATGCCACCTAAGAATTGTATGCCACCTCAAAAATAGACCTAGTTTAGAAAAATGTATTTTCCAATGCAAACAAAAGTAGACTAGGTCCTGCTGATGTGGCAGGTAGAAAAAGAGACCCGGTCTACCGTTAAGTCTATTTTAAACCCAAGTAGAGACCTAGTCTCTTTGTATTGGAATGAATTTTATCAATTTTACATAGTTTTATCCATGTCATCCAAGACTTGAGTTATTTACATACCACATAAGCAAGACTAGACCCGTAGACGGTCTTAGTAATTAGTAAATAAAATTGGACCCTTCAATTGGGAGATGTCCATCTTATCATTAGTCAGAGTGGGCCCTAGCAACGAACAATTCCCTTCTCTGACCATAGCAGTATACAGCACCTGGTCGCAACAATGATATTTTGCAATTCAGCCCGTTTGCAAATTACCCAACAAATATATTTAGTAGGACCCAAGCCCACCTATAATATTTTTTGTCTGGAAATTGAATATTAAGGTTGGAATTGATGCATAATTGTTTGGATTAAGATTTATTTCATTCAACTGAAAATGGAATAAAAAAATTAAACAATTATCATTTCATCTCATCACAGATCTCAAGAATTAATTTATTTTAAAAAAAAGAGTCATTAATATATATTTTCCAAAAAA